TGTTTGTCGGCTCAGCGCGGCAGCCATTTAAATTTAAATGAAGCCGCGATTATTTAAATCGCGGCTTCATTTCCCTCTGCCGATCAGCCTAATCTACATGGCTCCATCAATGGAGCCATGTAGTTTAGACACACCCACGTTGAAGCGTTGTTACCGCTGTGTGACACTGACACACACACACACACTCTCTCTCTCTCTCTCTGCTTGTTGAAAATGAAAGCCTGGGGGGAATGGGTCACAGGAAAGATCCCAGCGCACCCACCAACGCATGTCCATGCTGATGCATGGGGACATGGTCTGATCTCTGAAAAGTCTGGGCATTGCTTCCTAATATTCGTATTTTTTCGATACTCCTAATAATTGCTTCTGTAGGGCAGAAACAGGGCGGGTTTTCCACCCTGCCGAATGATATTTTATACAGGAAAAGATCCACATAGCCATTGAAACCTTCCCCCTGCAGAATAGCTCATTCATAGATTAATCAATTCCAAAGCCCAAAGGGTCCATTGTGATCACCCAGTCTGACCTCCTGGACACCACAGGCCTGAGACCTGCCCCAAAATAATTCCGAGAGCAGAGCTTTTGGGGGAACCCCCCCCCCCCGGCCCCTCCCAATCTTGATTTAAACATGGTCAAGATGGAGAGTCCATCGCGACTCTTGGTAAGTTGGTCACATGCTTAATGACCCTGTTTGTCAAAAATGGACGCCTTATTTCCAGCCTGGATTCGTCTAGCTTTCACTTCCAGCCGTTATGAAATATCTGTTCCCCAGGCAGCTACTTAGCCCGGAATCCATTCACTCCTTCACCTTCTTTTCGTTAAGATAAATACACTGAGCTCCTCTATCACAAGCCGGCAGGTTTTCTAATCCTTTAATCGTTTCTGTGACTCTTCTCGGCACCCTCTCCAATTTATCAACAGACCTCTGGGGTAGCAACTCTCCCCAGATTACACACCCCACGCAGCAAAGACTTTTGCTTGGTCCACCAGTGAACAATAAACCCTCCACGGCTTTGGGAACGTCACTGACAAATTTCTGAAGGCCCCGATCACATGAGGGTGCAGCCGGAAAACAGTCCAACCCAGAGTTCATTAAACCTAAAAAATACTTGGGCAAAAACACTGGTGGATTACACAGCCCAGCGATAAGGCGGCTCTTAAATTACTAACATGTAGATCTTTAATTACAAAACAGCTACTGCGAGTTGCAAGATAGCGTGCTTGATGCTCCTGACTTCGTCCCCAGATGGCTTGATCGGAACTGTCTGATAACAGATGTTAGAAAAACAAGTTTGCAAGGTCAATGGATTTGTTTTGTTCCCCTGGGGGGAAAAAAACAATCAGCTGATAAAGCCACTGGTAAAAAACCCTTCTGTGAAGACCTGAAATGGAGATAGCATCACTGCCTAGATGGAAATCTGAGTTGCCCTCATGTTTGGCGGGGGCTTTCCAGTAACAATGATCTTCTGCAAATTGATACCATAACTAGCACGAGGGGAAGAGGCGACGGGGAGAGAAAGAGGGGCGCTCAAAGTGTAGGAACAAGTTTTGCGACTGGGTTTCCACGGTTAACACAACAACGGTGGCCCCTTCAGCCCAGAGGGGATGGGGGAAGCAAGGAAAAGCACCTGGTTTTCTGGCTTTGCTCCATCCAAACCTGGCTGGCTGAGGGCAGCAGCCATGCGAGGGGCAGCTACGCTCTGCCAATATAAACACCTCCGCGGGCGCTGGGCTCTTACCCAGTCTAGCAGATGACGGACAGTTTCAATCTCCCCGAAAGCCGACGCCCAGATCAGAGGTGTGAAGCCTCTCTCGTCAGGTTTGTTGACTAAGTTGTCCCCTGGACGGACAAGAACAAAGAGCCTTGTACCTACAGACCATCCATCGTTTGCCTCCGGGGCTTCAAGAACTGGGCATTCAAAGGGCTTTGTAGGCATAGGAATATTCTTCTCCACCCGCCTTGGCTGTGGTCAGCTGCATGTTGTGTGTGGGGAAACTGAGGCACAGAGCAGCGCTGTGAGAAGCAGCCAGAGGGGTTCCTGGCTATCAGTCTATGCTCGGGCCACATGCCCTTTGTTCCCCACTGCCTCTAGGGGGGCATCTGTATCCTCAAAACAATTCAGCGCTCCCAAAGAGCGAGCCCTCTCTCAGCTGGAGCGCGTCTCACTCTGTCCGTGGCTCTCTTGGACCCGGGGCACGGCCCAAGGAAGGGTGGGAAGAAGGCGGCAGGAGGGATATGGGGGAGAGGGCAAAAAAAAAACCAACAACCTGAGAGGCAAGAATGGACTGGTGGGAAAATACGAAATTAACTTTAGAGAAGAATTGGCGCTACAAGGTAGGGGGTGCTGCCTGGTTCCTGGGGAGGAAAGGGTTAATCTCCGCTCTGTGACGCGCACCCAGGCAGGCTAGGGGCTGCTTGTGGGACAGGTGGGTCAGAAAGGGGGACGACAACTGGCCAACCACAGGAGTTGGTGGCGGGAATGGGGCTGGGCTCCTGTCCTTTGCTGGTTGCGCCTGGGGTTTGTTTCTGCTGGGCCCCCACAGGGAGATACCACGTAGTCGGGGCAACCAGTGCCTGGGGAGGCCACGAGTGGAGCGAGACTCTGACCGTGCAGCTCCCCACGTGGCCTCCTTTGACCGCCTGAGCGTTTGCCGTGGCTCTTGCCCAGCGAGTTTCAAACGAGGGGGCGCACCCCAGGGCTGGGGGGGTGGAAAGTCGGGTCCTGGGTCTCGTGGCTGCA